AGGTAGTGCAACAGCGTTGCTTTGGTTCCAACTCACGTATATTAGTGTTTCTATAAGTTATTATTTTATATTTTAATTTTCATAGTATTGTGATCAAAAGAATTCTTCATTCATAAAAACAACATAGGAACAGAAATATATAGATTACAAAACATTAATTTTTAAAAAACATCGGTGTTAATATATCCATGTTTCTACAAAAACATCGATGTTTTGGAAACATTGACATCGATGTCGCATTCCTACCACTCATTCGGAAAGGAGGCTGAGTCGATTTCAGAGCCTGAGTGGAAATCAACATATAAGAATCCCAACCTAAGGCGGCATTCCAACCTCGTTCCTTCAGGTCAGGAACCCAGCCCCCTGCCACAGAGCCACCGCTGCTCTTCTGCAGGCTGATATTGAAGTTGCAGTGATAAGTTCTATGAAAAACAAATGTACGTTAGGGGAAGTAGTCATTTTTTTAAGGTTTGAGCAGGCTATATTGTTCAATTAAAGCTTTCGTCGTGATCCCACCGCGAAATTCATGTCACTTAATCAAACAAACTTTGAGAGATGGCTTGGGGCATCATCTGATGTCACATTTCCTTTAACCGGGAGATCATAGGTTCGAATCCCGACGGTGGCAGTTTTTTTGACATCCGCTAGATAGCTAAATCGAATTCACTTTCTGTCTATGGAGAAATTAAGTGGCAGGCTGTTCTGATCGTCATTTTTCTGTGGTTTCTCCGATCAGACGAATGCCGGAGAAGTAACTAAACAAACAGGCCATGGACCAGGCGAGATATTTCCGTACACACATGCTGGGTCAAATGAATTTGGTGTGTAAATGGTACACACACGGGTCAAATGAATTTAGCCGTTTACGCGCCGGGAATTACTAATCATTCAATCTCACATAATTCTGATATATAATATTCTGGGCTACCAAACTAAGAAAGCTCAGCTCCCAAGTAGAGAAAACCAGAATACGGCGTAGTGATGTCTATATGCGAACCACCCGTACCCTTTAACCCGTGGCGGAAGGCCGGGCCACCGGTTGTCGGCCTTGTCAGGTGCTGTTGTGCCAGTACTGACAGACCCTACTATTTGATCGAAATGTATAGTAAGACTCTTTGTGATTCTAATTGTACACTGTAATTATTTTTTCTCAATTTTATATAAATTTCATAAGAAGAAATACTCAGGCAGTGCTGCAATAGCACGCACGTCGCGAACTAGTAACGTCTGAAGAGTAACGTCACCAGAAAGATAGAATTGTCGTTTCATTATCGCTTTAAATTGACCTCAAGAGCAGAGCAGCTATTGCTTTTTCAAGTCACTAGTCACTGTTTTATTAGAAGATATCCATTTACATGCATTTGTGTATGCGTTAACATTGAGAAAAAAGGTCGCGTTTTAGTTGAAGGTGGTTGGTGGTACAGGAATTCCATCGTATTAGAATGTTCTGTACACTCACATGACATTCCGCACATAATACGGAAAAGTATGTTATCCCAGACCAAGCAAATTCCGATGGAATGGAATGTTGCTAATGTATTGAGCGAATATGAATACATAGCAGAGAGAATGCAATGAGACAAACACATCGTAAACTGTCATTTAACGAGACTACGCCTTCCCAACGCAAGGTATGATGCTACTGACCTACATCTGCAGCACTCGAATACTCATCTGGGCGGGTGCAGCAACCCTTAAGAACTTTCGGAGAAGCTAAGTTTAAGATTTCGCCCCACGCAGATGCGCATTCGGCCGAACTGCGTTCGCCCATCTCCATCCATTTCTCCTCCTCCGCCTCCGCCCATCCGCTCGCCCGCATCCCGGCCTCGAGTCCACTCTCCATCCCGGCCGCTATGCAGATGCCTTCTCGCGCTATTCAATTTGCCCGGGGCCTCGCGCAGCGCTAGATGAAACCCGCTCCC